AGCTAGTTATTGCTTCTCCTTCCCAACTTACTCAGATCTTCTCCTAACACTCTCTAACATAATATACTTTTCTTATTTATTTTGTTCCTTGTCTGTCTATCCTAGTAGAAGGAAACTTCTGTGTGGAACCTTAATCTGTTGCAATTCACTGTGGTGTCCCTGGTGTGTGGGGTGATGTCTGGTACTGGTACACTCTCTAAAGGGCTGCATAAGGCTAGCATAAGCACACCTGGAGAGGCAGGAAGAACCTGGACGGGGGGCAGCAGCACCTACCCAGATGTCACCACAGGCAGAACCAGCTAGCAAAGAGCAACCTGTCAGTACGCACCAGTACAGGAAGCCGTGTCCGGCCAGAAGGCATCGATGCTCTGTCACTCTGTCTCTTCACAAGCATTAATATTTTCCTTTCTTCTTGGGGATCACCTCCTCATACATGGTCAACAATCATGTAAGATCTTTTGGAGAAGAGGCCCATAACACAAGACCATTTCTAATTTCATCTTTCCTGCTACCCCACTGTCTCTTTCAGCTTTTGTGTCTACGCACTTACCATTCAACTATTCCTTTCCCCTATAGTTCCTTCACAATATTCTCTATCTTTCTGAAACTCTCATTTCTGGTTAGTACTTTGGGACCTTTGCCAGTGCCACAGAGAACATAGGAAAACATGAATAAATAAGTTATATGTTGTTTATAAATAGAATTAGAGACAAGAAAATGGAAGAGAGGATATTTCCACAAATGTCTTTTGACTTCTTGAAGATGAACATATTAATATTATCTTGTTTAAAACCCTTAAATTCTAAAGTATCTACATTTTTACAGCACCCTCCTTTTGGTGAACTCAAAGTGTATCTGCAGAAACTACAGAAGTTGTCTACATAGTATTTCTATAAAAGAAGTGAGGCAGATAATTGCTTTTCCCAACGTATAACAAACAAGCAGAATATGTCTTATAAAGTAAACATAGACCCTATTAACAATTCTCTGAAAAATGGGTTCTTTAACTAGGCAATTTTACTAATAGAAAACATGACAAATAAAAGGGGGAACTAGTGACTTGTCACACATTGAAGACCTTAAATATTCACCACTCACTATATTTAAAATAGAGTTCAACTTCATGTTAAGTATAAGGTCCAACACTACCAACTGTGAAGCACACACTTGTTTACTATTACAGATGTTTTCAGCAAGAAAAAAAAAATACAATGGAATTAAAATAATTATTGGTGATATATTATGTAAAATTTTATTATATTTGAATCTGTCATCAGGAATATATCTATTTTTTCTTGGAAAGGAAAATGGATTTAATTACAGTGGAAGCAAAATTATTAAATGAGTACATATTTTCACAGGCAACCTCACTGCTATCATTTGCAAGTTTCAGTCAAAAGACAAAAGCATTTTATTACTCAAGAAAAAAAGCCATTATGATTTATGAAGTCTTGAAAAAAAAAAAGAAACTGAAGGTACAATCCAAGTAGTCACTCTTCTGTGATCAGTATACACGTTGAAATCTCCAAATAACATCAACATTTAAAATTACAGATAACAAGATCATTGCTTAGAGAAATTTGGATGTTCCAACTAAAAGTCTTTTGGCCATGTCCACTGATTTCTTGCCATCCCCTCAATCAAATAGGCCACACAACAATTCTACCACATCTTGTGCACAGCTGATTTCCCTCCCAACTCTCTTACCTCTGGTAGTGTGCTTCTCATTGTCCCAGTGACTTGCGCCAGCCTTGGGCGGCCTCCTTCCTTTCCTCAGCCCGCGCCCGCTTGGCTCAGCAGCCAGCCCCCTCCCGGGTGTACTCGCATATCTCCTCTGCACTCTCATCGCCACCACACAATACATGCCATGAAGCCCATAGATCTGCTTTTCATCATAACTTTCTGAGTCTCCTGTTTCTGGCTTTTACTCTTTTTTTTCTGGATTTACCAAATATCCTTCGCTCAACACCATGTAAGGATGCTTTAAGGGACATCTTTGACTACAGTCTTAAAAATTCCACTTTCATGAGTAGATGTGGATTGTGGTGTGGGTGCTAGCCTTAGGCTCTTCTCATTTGATGCAACCTAACGTTTATAGCAATTTCAAAAAGAAGACCTTACCCTCTAATAGCAGGGTCAGATTTGTAGAGGGAAAAAGATACTGAGAATGAGCAGCTCTTTGTTCTTGTACTCTCAGCCTCCAGAACAGTATATGGAACATAGTAAATGCTCAGTAAATAACTGAAGATCAAATGGATATGTCATGGGGAATGCATATAAAACCACGTTCCAATTTAGGTCAAATATGTTAGAACCCCCACAGAAAATAGAAAGTTCCAGAGAAGCAAATTCTGTCCTAAGAAAACACCTGGTCAGGGAAGAGCTAAACTGTTAATATAATTCAGTATAAGATCAAGTGAAAATGATAAAGTAGAATATTCCTGTTTTTTCTTCTGATAAACTACCCAGGAAAATCTAGTGTGACAGTACTGGAGCAAGGATAGAAAAAATTTTCTTCCATGAGCTTTTAGTGACTATTTGGAAAGAGTCCCACTGAAACCCTAATCTAATAAACAAGTCTCACAGGGCTTCCCTCTGAAAAGCAAGGTTAAGGTTGTATCTTCTTGGGTTAGAATGACCACCAAAGTGGAAGTTGAACCCTGTTGTGTTAATTACCTCCTTCTGTGGAATGAACCACCCCCAAACCTGGCAACTAATTCAATACACATTTATCATCGCAGTGTTTGAGGCCCAGAAATGAGGACGTGGCTTAGCTGGGTGACCGTGGCTCAGTGTCTCTTGTCAGGCTGCAATGGCGATGCTGGCTGGGGCTGCAGTCATGTCAAGTTCAGCTGGGGAGCCTCCTTCGCCAAGGTCATTCATGTGGCTGTTGGTGGCCTGCAGGTCCTCACTGGCAAAGTCGATGTGCTTACCAGGACTGTTTAACCAGCTCTGGCCAGGAACCAATAACGAATCTTTTCCTTCACACTGATATAATGAAGTCTTCCTTCATTATTTGTGGAGTCTGCATCTATGAATTTATTGCCTCACTAAAATATATTTATAACCTCATGGCAATATCCCAATCATGTATAGTACACAAGTGCAGAGTAGCGTAAGATTTTAGCCAGCAATCCTAATGAAGTTTTGGTAAGGTCCTGTTTTCTGGTTTTGGATCTTGTATTATAAACACATCTTTTTCATAAAATATTTAGAGTCATACTTTTCATATTTTTGTGGTTTGTTGGTGATTTCATTGTTTGTTTATTTATAGACAGTGCCTTCCTATGTAGTTCAGGCTGGCCTTGAACTCACTAGGTAGCAGACAATGTTCTCCAACTCAGTGACCCTCCTGCCTCAGCCTCCCAAGTGCTGCAATTATTACAGGCTTTGCCACCATGCCCAGCTGGTTGCACTGCTTTAAATGGCTCCCAGTACAGTGCTGAAGTGCTGCCTAGATTTCATAAGGAAAAGCTGTGATGCACCTTATGGAAAAGATAAGTGAGTCAGATAAGCTTAGCCGAGGCATGAGTTACAACGCCGGTGGCCTTGAGTTCAATGTCAAAGAAGCAACAGTGCTTACTAAATAAGGTATCTTTACCAGAAACACATGTACTACAAGGCTTGTATTGACTGACTGACAAGAGCGTGACCAGAAGCTTACAGGAATTATACTGTCCTGTATTTGTCTTAGGAGGAACAAGTACTTGATAACTCAGTGCTCTCAGTAACTTCATAGACCACAATGATCATGAATAACAAAAATAGGCTATAAATACATATGCATGAACACATATACACGTGTGCATATGTTGTAGCATGTATTATACACATAGCCTAGTGTTTCTGCTTCCAACGGACTCCTGATTGATGAACCTATAAAATCTAGTTAATGATCATGAGGCTCAGATGAAGTACTAGGGTAGTAATGTTCACACATTAAGAACAGGTCATTGGGGCCAGGGAGATGGCTCCGTGAAATAAGCACATTCCTAGCAGGTGCAAGGGCCTGAGTTTAATCTCTGGTTCCACCAAAAAAAAAAAAAAAAAAAAAAAAAGAATAAATTTAAAAAAAATAAATAAAAATGGGTCATCACATAGAATTTGAATTGTTCTTAATTTTTTTATCTAAAAATATGTATACAACTGTACATATTTGGTGATTAGCTATTCCCTACCTTGCTATATGCGCTTGTGGTTAGTAGTCAGGGAACTGTGAGAGTCAAAATGAGAAAGCAATGCCACTGCCATTGGCATGGGTCTTCTCACTAAAGATTTCAGTGCAAGGCCTGCAGGATGGAGGCCCATGCCATCCTTACAGTTTCCAGAACCCAGCTGTTTCCTGAGGGCCCTGGCTCCGCACTTCTTTCCTTGCCTTTATCCTCTCTGAACATCTTCAACACCATTCCAGCTCTTACTCCCTGCCTTTCTGTTTCTTTTGTGAACGATGCCATCTTGCATGTCTTCCCATGATTACATCTAACACACATGGTCCAACTAAAACCATAGCATGAAAGATGCTTTCCCTAAAGACTGTGCACCACACAATAGCGTTGACTCCCTGACGTATCATGGAGTTGGTATTCAATCAGAAACACAAGTGTCATGAATGATTCTTACAGCTACCCAGTCCTTGTCTTTGGCACTTCTTATCTCCCAAAGCCTCAACTGCAACTGTCTACATTACCTTTGAATTGTTTTGCCTCTTCATTTTTCTAAATTGTTGGTAAGCACTTTAAGCTACTTAAATCTTGGTGACTTAGATATATGTCCTACATTATCAATAATTCAAGGCACAACAAAATACTTAATTCACAAACTAGAATTCTACATTTCTTTATGCCTGTTGATTTATGTTTTGCGGTGCTGTGAATGAAACCCAGAGCCTTGTGTGTGCTAAACAATCACTCTATCACTGAACTACACCCCAGCCCTAGAATTCAATATTTCATTGGCACACTTTCTTACTTAAAAATACACATCTTTCATCAAACACATACCTGCTGAGACTCTGGGACAGTCAGGCAGCATGGATTCCACTGACGTGTCTAATGGTTCTGAGCTAGAGACCCAATTACAACAGTTCTGCAATGTAACAGAGACAATATTGTTGAAACACAATTTAAGGCAAGACCAACTATTTAGGTGGAAAAGCTAAATGTACCTGTAAAACCAAAATCATGGCAAGTGTATTTATTTCCATATATTTAATTTTTTTCTTCGGTAAACAGTAACTATTCATGACTAACTTGTCTGTGGAAAAAAGTTTATGTTTCATAGTTCAGCAACTTATCTGCACTGACATGAGAAGACATGTGAGCCATGCTGCAATATATTTCTAAGAACGATTAGATGGTTAAAAAATAAATAAATGAAGGGATTATAATTAAGAGAAATTTAAACATATGCCATTCTAAACTCTGAGAGTGAAATAAATATTGCTTTGAACAAATAATAGAACAACTAATGTGTAAACTATATTTTATGCATAATACTAGAAGAAATCAATTTGGCATTTACTACTCAAAAATCTGTCTCATATATGTTTTTATAATTACACTCTCTATAAATTTTTACTTCGACTTGCTTCAATGAAAGTTATGCCCAAATAGTTGTATAGGCTAGAAACACAAGCTTGCGAATTATAGCTGTATGTCTGAGGACACAGAAATTTCAACATTAAAGATCAGTTTATAATACAGAAAAAGAAAACTACAGTATCTTTATTTTATACATTTTTAGTCTAAATTTGAACTCTAGATTAGGAGATATTAACCTCATATGATTTTAAAAAATTACACACACACACACACACACACACACACACACACAATGAATTTCCAGACAGATTTTATTTTAAAAGAAATCATCCCATCAATCACGTTGGAAAAATCGGCGATTGCTATTCTAGTAAACAAGGATGCATTGTGTATTTTTAGATGCTTGCTGCCCTGGTTGTGCACCATGGAATCCGTCCTCACTGTGGAAAGATCCTTGACTGGTAGATCAAGTGTCTTATTGTATTTCCTTAATTCATTCTGTCTGGAAGAAGATGTCAGCTGTGTTGCAGTGAGGAGAGAATTTCAAAGGCTCCAGTCCCCACCAATGAAGGCCGAGGAATGGCTATTGAATAGATTTGTCAAGGCAACCCTACTGTTCTGGGACCAGAGAGAGCAGGAATACATAAAGGAAGGGTGGCTGTACGAGATTAGAAAGTGAAGTTCACAAAGCACAGCAGATTTCTGTAAGAAACCCTGGATCAATGAAACTATTGAACTGTGTAGGGAAAAAACCATGAAAACAAACACAACATCTAGTAATGTTCTTAAATGCTTTCTCTCTTTTTATATTTAAAATGGATAAAATATTAGTATTTCTCATGTATTATAAAAGCTTGACAGTTTTAAATGGATACATATTCTATAGTATACACTCCTAATCTTAATTAGCAGATGAATGCAAAATTACACAATGTAATAGAGTAGAAATTATAAAAGAAATAGGGTTTTAGAAGATACTTCATACATTTGAAATAAGTAAAATTAATATTACCCTTGATAGAGCACCCATCAGAGAATTCTTGATAATGCAGAAGATTAGCACACAATTAGCCAGCTTTTATATACAATGTGACACTTGCTTGTAAGAAATAAGTATTCTCCAAAGCAGTGTCAAGATATGTAAATGGATGATTTGTTTTATCGTTCATCACAGCCCCTAATAAATTCAAAATCATGACTTCTATAGGTACTAAAAATAGGCTTGCAATGATACAGTAAGATAGCTTCAATGAAGAATGACTTTCTCTTTCCCTTCTTCTTAAACAATTCAGTCTTTTCAATGACAGCAATTAGTACTAACAACAGACAGGCAGCGATTAGGTATATATTTTAATTAGTATTCATCCTCCTAGTACCTCCAAATCTGATGAAAGTTGGCTATTACCCAGGTGATGTGTCAGTCTCAATAGTGTTACCTACACTTTACATATGTAAAACTATCCTACAGGATTTGCTAGCACTAATAAAAGTGATGGCACATCATAATATGGGAATATTAACTACTTTCCTAACTAGTTGAGTTTTAAAAAGCTAGAAAAGGAAACTTTTGTTCATTTTTAATCGGATGGCTTTAACTCCAGCAATGGAAGCAAAATTTCGTTTTTTTCTAGGCAGATGCTACACTCTCATAAAATTCAGATACAAGCGAAGTGCCTGGTAGCTAATGTGAGTATGCCCCAAAGTTCTGTGAAGTGACAGCAGAATTGTACGATTGTGAAGGTCTGAGGCTATTAGTGTGAAGTGTGTGTATCTGTGTACAACTGTGGTATTGTTGCCCCCGTGGGAAGAGCATATGAAAACAGGGCAAAACAAGATAAAAATATTTGTCATACGATATCGTATACTGAAATAAAACCATAAACGTTGAAAAACATTATGCAAAGAGAGACATATGACCATCACCTATGAATTTAATCCATCTTAAATTCCATGTTTCACATATAATTCCCTGTCCTGCGATGTGTTTCCATAGTTTAAAAACCAAACTTCTTTCATTGTCATTTTTCTAACACTTATCTATCTTTCTTGTGAGCATCCACATTTGTCCTCCACCCACCACACCCCAGTTCTTTACTTGGGAGGAAGGCTACAGATGTGTCCCAGGGGACAATGCAGGCAGCCCACTGTGAAAGCCCTAGCCAAGGTCAAAATATGCTGGTGTGTGCTGGCAGTCGCTGAGGTCTTACGCTCAGATGTCCAGAGTAGGCAGCAGGGACCCACAGTGCCCCCCGAGTCTCAGATGCAGCACCCCCTTCACACAAACTAGCATAAAGCAGGAAACCCTGTCCTGGGGTGGCAGTTGGGATAGACTGCTTAACTCGAGCTTCTCTGAATAAAGGAGGAAGAGGGGAAGCCCCAAATACAGAGCATGTTTCTTGAACACTGTCAATGTAAAGGATCTTTGTAGCTCTGAATTTTCCCTTTGTGAAATCCAAAAATTTGGGACTGGCTCTAGACCGTAGCCCTTTGACCAGAACTTAGGGTTGATAACAGTTTAAAACTGACAGAAAATAAAGTTGTTATGATAGTGCTAGAATTTCATGTGTCATAGTTAAAAAAAAAAGTAAATAGCAGCTCTTCCTGCTGTGCAATGTATTGGTGACATTTGCTGTGCTGGCTGAATCTAGGCTTTCTTAAATGTTTGCAATACACAGTGCTTGTATCTGCTCTGGGACACTGGTCTGTGTGCACAGCACATCTTCATTGTTTTTGATCCTTTTACTCCTCCCACCCTTCCCTTTCCCTCTCCTGATGCCCTTTTCCACTTTCCCCTTTAAAAAGTCTGCCTCCTGGTTCCTTTCATTTCTTCTTTGTCTTATTTTTTATTTATATTTTTAGTTTCTCATGTGATAGAAACCACACATTATTAAACTTTCTGTGTCTAATTTCACTTAGCATTATGGTTTCAAGGTTTGTCCATTTCTGGATGCAACTAAAGACCATACTCACTAGTGAAATGTATCAAATTCACATGTGTAAATATGGTATCAGCTCCCTGGCACAAGAAAGTGAAACAGTAAATAAGGTCTAAAATGTGCAACAGATACTGTAAAATGGGAAGAAACTGTTTTTAAAAAAGGAACTAGGATGTGGGAAAGGAAAAGGAAGGAAGGGAAAAGAGAAAAATGCAAGTCAATTATCCTATTAGTGTCTCTTAGCTCACAGAAATGGAAGGTTTGCACTTATTTCCATTGGAGAAACTTTTATGCCCTTATCTTGTACTTTGAGTAACTACTTTACAGACACTAATATGCAATGTATTAAATGTTAGTCTCATCAACTTATTACAAAATATTGTTTTGCTTTTTTAACATAAAATAAAAAAATCATTTTTCTTGCATATGGCATGATTTCATTCTTTATGTCTGAATACTATTATGGTGTACAGCATATACGCCACATTTTCTTACCCATCAGTCTGTTGATGGGTTTCTATGGTATCTCCATACTTTACTGTTATCAATGGTGCCGCTATAAACATGGATATGTATGCATCAGTACAGTATAAAGTCTCTAATGCACTCAGTAACATAACTAGGAAAGGTACACTAACTGAGCAAATGAAATTTCTGGTTTTAGTTATTTGAGAACTCTCCATACTGATTTACTTAGTGGCTGTACTTGGTTACATTCCCACCATCAATATAGGTAGGTTCTTTTGTTCCTATTTCCTCATGAACATTTACTTTTTTGTGTTGTTGATGAATAGATACTTCTCAAAATAAGTAGAAAAGGGCCAATAGGCCCATGAAAAAAAAGCTCACCATCTTCAGTCATCAGGAGTCTAGGTTAGTACTCCTTTTATCTTTTGGTTTTCTGAGTCATAAATAACCACTGTGTAAAGGTTGATATTCATTATCAAAGATTCTGTGTCCTTGGAAAAGCTGAAGCGGGAGCCCCAGGCTGGGCCAACACTCAGAGCTCAAGGGCCACAGAAAGGTTCAGGGCAGCTACGGAGACTACAGGTCCAGCTTGGCCACAGGCTCTCAGAAGCTATGGGAATGGCAGCAAAAGTGTACCCATGGAGCCCTGAGAGCCTCAGAGTGACGTGAGAAGTCCCTCAAAAAGGAGCCTTGGGTCACTTTCTCCTCTCCTCAAGAGTCCAGCATAGTGTCCACACTTCAGCTGGGAGTTTCACTCAGAGTAATTATCAAAAGCAGCTCTCTTTGATCTTCTTTTAAAAGTTATGTAAAAATTACATAAAACAAGGGTCTATGTTTTTTCATCATATTCTGTAGGGACTTAAAGTTCAACATATCAATACTTGATGAAAAATACCTGTTACATGTTAGGCCTAAGATGTTTGATATTCAGACAGATAGTGAGGTTAAGCTTAACAGCCTAGGTTGTATGGTAATAACAATAATCTTGTCTTCTGGAGGGTTAACAACCTAAGTTTGCAGACCAAAATTAGAGAAAAAGGAAGGCCGCAAGGAAAGCCAACATTTTGGCCCTAGCCTTCTAAGGTCAATTAAGACTCAGGACATAAGAGAACTTGTACTGTAACGTCATGTAACTCAGTAGTGTCCCAAATTTTCTGATCAAGGAGATTCTGGGGCCAAACAGGAAAGTGATCAAAGATGTAGAGTGTGCCTAAGGAGAGTCACATGGAGAGAAAACATTCTCTCAGGCTGTCACAGAGAGCACATTGGCCAAGCAATGGCCGTGACTCATCCACAAGGCTGACACTGACAAAGGTTCTACAATCTGAGGTACAGGATCTCAGGATAAATCCTGAGGGGATTTCACTGACCTTCTCAGACCCAAAAGCTGCAACTCTTGTTGCATAGGTCCTGCTTTACCTTGGTCTTAACCATCCAGCAGAAAAGTATAAAAATGAAGTTTAAGAAGTAAAGCCATGGTGTTATGTTGAGCTGTAGGGGACTCAGGTCAACAATTTCTGACATTGCCAGTGAAGTGGAAGACCCAATACTATTATGGACTACTGGAGTCTTTTAGAATATTTTGCTGAGTTAACACACCTATAATATTCGAATACAAAAAAAGGGGATACAGATGAATGTCCATTTTGTATCTGTGTATTCAAAATGGTTAGGACAGATATATAGTTAGTTACATTCTCTTGATGAATAGAGGGATTTGTTCTAATAGTGTTTGTAAATAGGATATCATGTCTGCATCTTGTACAGCAACTAACCACTAGGAAGAATGTATGCAATGTGTTAATTATTGAATCTATCCTACCAATTTGGTTTGAAATTGTCTCATTGCTATTTGTTTCTCAATAAAATTATGGAAAAAAATAAAAAAGAAACCAAGGGTCTATTTCTTAATCTTTGTACTGTATGTTAAATCGATAAGTATAAATAAGAGCTTTCTATAGTAAACAAATACCATGAAAACAATACATGTAAAATTATTTTAAAAAACCTATTTCTTTTGTTTTTTTTTTAAGGACAGGGTCTTGCCTTCTTAAAACTCAGGCTGGCCTTGAGTTCACTCTGTTGTCCAATCTGGTTTTAAATTCACACTGAGACTTAAACTGCTTCAGCCTCCCAAATTCTAGGATTACAGGTATGTGTCACCACACCTGGCCATACAACTATTTCACTGCTTTTTAGAACAGTAGTAAGAATAACTAGGCTAGTCTGACCACCATGACACTCCCAAAATTTACAGCAGTTTTTGGTGAAATAATAAAGCCAATCACCAAGAATATAAAAGCACCAAGGCCTCTACATGTTAGCAGCTTCTACATGGCATCTGTGTGGACAGTCTTCCAGGTTAGCTGTAGTGCTCATCCTGAGGGTGGAAACTGCTTGCTGATTCCGCAAGAAGCGAGAGTAGGAGGCAGGAGGGTAGGGGCTGCTGGGCCGCCCAGTTTGTCCTGCCACACTACTCTCAGCACCCTCGCCCATGACAACAGCCCTTTCCACAGACCCCAGGCCAGATTTGCTAGTGTTTCAAAATTCTGAGCATCTTAAAGAGTGGTGCCAAGGGCCGGCTAAATAGTTCAGCGGATTAAAGTGCCTACAAGCAGGTGTAGGGGCCAGTTGTTTGATCCCCAGGCCTGCCATGCTGGCCCTGCCCCCAGGGTGCACTGAGATGGCAATTGAGACTGGGCGTGGTGGTGCCCACCTGTAATCCCAGCTCTTGGGAGGCTGTAAACAGGCAGATCACGATGAGTCTGATCTAGTAGTGGGAATACCCTGTAGACCCTTCCCTAAAATACACAGAGTGGCACCGAAAAAGGTGAAAAAAAAAGAGACTAGAATTTTGTCCCAAGTGTTGGCAAACTGCACTCGTGTCTTGCTACAGCATGCAAATCTCCTCAGCAAGGGGTCATGCACCAAGGTGAGTCAGATTAGGGTGGATGTCCTAGACTTCCATCCCCTCACTTCTGCTCTTGCTTTGGAAGTCTCAGCAGGGATAACTTCAAAGCTCTACCAAGAATGATCTAATCATCTTTCTCTCTAAGATTGTATAGTGTTTTCTATAATAATATATCTCACTTCTTTGGGCACTACCATTTGCCTTTCAGGGGGTTTTCTTTTTGATTATCACCTTTGATTCTCATAACAGTTCAAAAGTAGCCAGATAGGAATTATTATCTCTTGTTCACAATTATGAAACAGGTCCCAAAAGATGGATTGGCTTATTTAAAATTATGAGTCCCAGTAGGACTTACAATATGGTAGGTCCTCATGTACTGATTTATCTCTTGACTAAGCTGAATCGAAACTCAATTTGCCTAAGTGCTTGCTCTGAATTCTTCCAACATGTTTTTCTGTTTCCCTTTTGAAGATAATCTGAATATGCAAATCAAGAAAATAAAAGGAGGATATTATCCATGTGCTTTACAGGTAACCACAGCAAGATCTGTGATGTGTTGCTCTTCTTTAAATGCCAACAACAGTGCTGTTTCCTTACACACGCTGCTTTCGGCTCATGCTTGCCAGCAGGTATTACATTTTTGTAAAGACCAAATCTCAAAGAGATTGACTACCTTGCTTCCGACATTATAGCTAGGGAAATGATTGAGCTGGATTTTCATTTTGATAGGCCAGAATACAAATTCTTCAGACTTTCTCCATAAGGCATAAAGGGAAAAGCTGAGAGAACTATCTAAGAACTAGGGCACTTATAAAAGTTTTTAAATTTTTACGGCAGCCTTGTTTCAATTAAGATGAATTCAACTACTCCCTGTTTCAGTAAGTCAGATGGAAACTGCAGACCAATGCATTCTGACTTTTTTAAAGAAACACCTACTCTAGCCTTAGATACATGAAATATGATAACAAAATTAGGAGAGTAAACACTGTTAAATAACACATTACAATAAAGAACATACTGCCATTAATTCCCCTTAGAATGCTTTCCTCACTTTAAAATCATTGATCCTATGGTTCTTGCCACTGTAGGAAGCAGCTCTGGACTCTTCTCTCATGTGCCTACTTGGGCTGTCCTGGCTGCCTCACTGTCTGGATGGATGCAAATGTTTGCGCTCTGTGGCCTTCAGGGAAGACCTGAAGTCAGGTGGTGCCAGCGCAGGCGCAAGTGTGCGTGAGGGAAGGGGAAGCGCTTTGAGGAGGGCAAATGGAAATGTACCTTTACTGTAGTGAAATTTTTACACTTAAACATGCACTATATTTTTGAGCAGTCCTTATATTTAAAAGGTAAATACACTGTTATACTTGTCACCTGGAATGAGACTTTCATGAAGAATTTTCCATTAAACAAGAATGAACAGGGATATTTCTAGTTTGAGTCAAGTACAAAATCCCACACTGATTATGTAGAGGGGAAAAGTCACTAAAGGCTCACTTATTAATTTCGCCCCTTAGTGCTAGGAGGTGTAGGTGAGGAATGCATGAAGCTCTGTCATGCACAAGTCATATCCTGGGAAGAGGCAATTCAAGATGAAGCCAGCCTGTGAAAGAACATGTGTGTCAGAACAGATTTAAACCCTATCTCTCAATTAGTTTACAGCACTGGGAGGACAGGGATGAAACCATGTAATATAGTTGAATTTAATTTTTATTATTTTTTAACCATTTAATTTTATATTATTCATTTATTTTTTTGCTCCTGGTTTACTTCATTGAATATAATATCTTCTGGGTTAATGTGTGTTATCACAAAAAACAGGCTTTCTTCTTTTGTAAGGTTCAATAGTATTCCAGTGTATATCTATGGCACAATCTTGTTTCCTACATATCCAATAAAGAACAGCAAAAATCCACATCTACTTTTAATTCTGTTATTTGTTTGCTTGTGAGTGGATTATTTTGAGTTTAATGTATCTTGGATATTTTAGGCTTCTGTGTGATAAAATATGTTTTCTAATGGAGAACAACAACAGTAATAGGGATGGTGGTTATACCACTCTACAGCCTAATTCTTGCATCCAAAACTCTTCTTCAAATATTAGTTCTCTGATGTTCAGAGTTTACTTTTTTCATTGTAGGGTAGCTGAACAGACACTCAGGTATTCTATTTAGAAATATTGAAAGGAATCTGAAGGTTAATTGGTTCACTCCTATAAATGTAAGTAAATAGTTTGGCTAAATAATCACTATCACTGACTGGTCACTAATTTATTTTGATTACTATTGATTTATTATCGGGCAACTGGTGTAAGGTGTTTATATTATTAGAAAGGTAAATGAGAGAGAATAACAGCTGGATATCCCTAATAGTACACAAAAAATAATGAACAGAAAGTTTTGAAGAAAAAGGAGGAACGCAGAAAGTGTCAGGTAGCCTGGCCCTTAGGAAGTACGAAAAGATGCTTGGCTGAGCTTGGACCAGCATCAGCTCCTGGGTTTCTCCTAGCTCAAGTCTGGCTTAAGACCCCAGGATCTTCCTTCTATCCCTATAGGCAGTAAGAGTGGCACACCCTGATGGCCTCCCATGTGGACACTGAGCTTCTGTCTTATAATCAAGCAGTGTCCATGGTAACTAGCTGGTGAAAAAATAAAATATTGAGAAATAAAAAAAATCTAACACCACATCCATCTTTAGGCAAATTTCTAACATGCATTCCATATACTGCACAAAATGCACAATATGGTAATATTCCATGGAAATCCAGAAAGAAGAGGTCTCTCAGAGAGTACTTGTTCTTATGAAGGGTTTTCTATTATGCTTTTCACCTTATGTAGTTTTTCCCCTATTCATTCTTGATGTTCTTTCTCTCAAAAAGGAGCATGGGGGAGGAAGGTGATAAAAGTTACTGGTACTCAAGATATAAACCTTAAAGACAATCGGCTCAGCACCGAACAAACCAAGTCTCACCTCTCTCATCCATTCCCGAATCGTTTTGCCGGCTTCTTGATGCCACACATTGTGAACAGAGTCTGTTAATGCTACAGCGGTTACCTTACTTTTGACATCTGCTTCCCGTTGAATCATCTGTTTAAAGAAAAATTTAAAAAAAAATATGTAAAATACTGGCTGTAGTTTTTTCCCACTGGATACAGCCTGCTTAGTCAGAGATAATAATGCTATATTAAAAATGAAAGGGCCATAAACATCTCTGGCTCAAAGTTACTCTTTTCTGCACTTGTACATAGTCTGTTCTTATCTAGAGATATGAAAAGACCTAATATTTTCTTTTAAAAGATAATGCCATTTAAGTCTTACAGGCAGGCAGCTCTATTATTTTCCATGTGGTCTGACAATTCAAGGATTAACAGGATCACAGGGCAATCCTCGAGGGTTTCTTTTACAAGTTTCTTCCGCCACTTCCCATTTCAGCACTTCAGAGAAGTTAGCACCCGGGGTTCACTGTTACCTTCGTAGGACTGTCTTCCACTAATTTTCAGGAGATGACGTATCTGGCAAGGAAGATGCTTTCTTTAACTTCTTCAATTTAACTAGGCTGCTCTTTAGGATGGTCTTGTAATTTCTCAGAGTTTTAACTGCCCACAAAGATCCTTTTCTTTCAAAGTCTATCTATCAACATGATTTTGCTTCCTTATATACTTCTTTATAGTAGCATACTATTATTTTTTTATGTTCTTTCTATAGAATGTCTATAAAACTAAATGGCCTCTGAAAAGAAAAAAGCAGCTTGGCTTGAATTCATCAGTGGTCTGCCAGAAAAAGAAAATGAAAACTAAATTCTACATCAAAAGAATCAAGGGGCTGGCAAGATAGCTGAGCAGACTAAAGTGCCTGTTCAGGCAAGCTCAGGTGAGTGCAAGGACCATGGATCGATCCCGGCACCACATGTCATGCCAGCCCTGTCCCCAGGGTTCACTGAGCCAGCCACAGAGTCCGGGCATTGTGGCACATGCCTGTAATCCCAGAGCTAGGCAGGCTGAAAGCAGGAGGGTCACCATAAGTCTGAATTGCACAGTGAGACCCTGCAACAACCAAGTACATAGGAAAAAAAAAAGAATCAAAAAATGCTTTAAGCTACTAATACTTGCGATCATAATATGGTACAATAAATATAAGAAAGCTTAATAAAAATTACAGTGCCTTCTTCTTTGCATCAAATGACTTTCTCCCTCTAAATTCTTATACTGAAGAGCAGTTTCTCTATAATTTACTATTAATTTGTATCAATTGTTCATAAAAATATAACAGTGCAATTTAAAAGAGGAGAGAATTGTGAACAGTGATAAAAGCTCACATGAAGAACACTCCAAGCTCTGCTTCTGACACCAAGTAAGGCCCATTGGCATTTTCAATTGTAATATTTCTCTTTTTGAATTTTTGTTAAACTCTTTGTATGTACATCCTTTCTCAATGAACACTGCCTAATAGAAATCTAATTCACTGCTACTGAATCTAATTTGCATTACCACAACTGAAATCTTTGTGCGCCATGTTTATATACTAGCAAAATGTTAAAACCAATATTGGTTATCAACATCATAATGTTACAACATTCACTTTTTACAATCAATAATAATTTGGTAAGCACGAAGTACTACTCTAATTCGATATTACACAGTAATTACTAAGTAGTGTATAACCTTGGACTTTCATTTCAAAAATTAGTTTCTCACTGGATCATTTATTGACACTAGAATATAAACATCTAAGTCAATATTAGATGACAATAACAGTTTCTAAAATAGTGAATTCATCTGGCTAAGGAAGAAGTGGAAAATCCTTACTCATATTTTTGAAATATAAATACTTTAGAGATCTATAACAATTTCTGCTGAAGTTACAAAATAAGAACTTGCTTTTCTGCTATCCTAAGAATGTCTGTACTTTAAAATACTTGATCTAAGTTTTATTGTGGTTGTTCTTAACATAAACAGATATATGTAAGACCGTGATTGAAGGCATAAATCTTGAGGACCACTAGTGAAATAAAATTAAGTGCTGAATAGGCTGAGGAGTGAGAACAAGAGAGGAAATATGGGGATTAAAAGTGCACAAACTGGAAAAAATGTAGAACTGCTAGAGTAATTGAGCAAAACGGTGACAACAACATTCCCCACCCCCAGCCTGTCCACCTGGTTGACATTTCTTTCTTTTTTTGTATTCAGTATAGAGTCTACCGGGTCTCACTATGTAGATTGGACTCATAGTGATGTGTCTGTGTTCAGCCTCCTGAGTGCTGAGATTACAGGTGCACTCCGGGGGCAGGGCTGGCACAGGATGCAGGGGATCGGACCCCAGCCACTGCGCTCTGCCTAAGCAGGTGCTTTAGTCCACTAAGCTATCTGGCTGGCCCTTGGTTGATGTTTCTTACGAAGGTAACTTCTCCACATCATATCAAGTCACATTATTGAGCACTATAATCATTTAATGTATCACTACACAACTCTGCAATTGAAAATCAATTTCATATTTTACTATTAGAGGTAAAATTCAGGCCAAATCTCTGAAAGGTATTTTCAATGAAAACAACCAGAGAATTTAACATACTTGTATAAAACTAGTGGAATGGTGAGTAGGTGAAGATCTCTGTCTAATTTTTCAGAGTGCTAACCTCTGTCTGGCACTACTGCAGCCTAGCTGAGTAGTACTGGAACTGGCTACCGCAGCCATTTTGGGCCACACCCACTGCTTCTAGCTGGTTCCTCCAGGTGCACAGTCTCCGCTCCCTCCTGCCATCCAGTGTGGTTAAGAATTTAATACGAGTTGCTAAGGGCAGCAATGGTGGAGGCAGGCTGAATCTGGGTGGTCTAAAAGCCCAGTGTTTTAGATGAAATACAGCGAAAGTGAGGAAGAAGAGGTACAGGTGGGCAGGAAGAGAAATTCAATATTACAGTCTATAATAGAAAGTTGTAACATTCTGGAAAATCCTAAGATCTGCCAGAGAGGAAAACTATCATCAACAGCCTTCTGTATATTAATCTAGGGTGTAGACAGTGTTTAATCAGGATCCATCAATGGGAATACTTCAAATTTCTTGGAAAATTCTGTGTATGTAAGTGTTTTTCTTGGGAGAGGAACTTCAGCATTCATGAGATTCTCGTAAGGACCTTCATCTCTAAAATTGGTAGATTCTGTAACCTTTCTCTGTGTATTCTTGAGTGAAATATGAAGTTCATATAGTAAGTGATCCCTTTGATCATTTTAACACCTATAACCAATCATTCAAAAAGAAAGGATATTCCATTTTTTTAATAATATATTCAGTTTGGTATCAACAATTTGATATGAGGGATAAAAACTGATGTTGCAGCCATCAACATCCTAAAATTCTATGCTCAACAGCCTATGAATGGTAAAGTTACAAATATATATATATATATATATATATATATATATAATTTATATCTGATGGACAGTCAGCACATTTCAAAATGATACAAATTAATTAGAATTTTATTCCCAAATAAAAATGGGATGTATGCAAAAATTTTTGTTATTTTTCCTATGTATAGGTGAGGAAACTGAGTCTGAGATAGATTAAGAAATTTTAAGGAGTCACACAAATACAAAGCAACACATCTGTGACTTGACAGTGGATAAACTCATTGTTTCATCTGTATCACACAGTTCTACTTCCAATAATATATACCTTTTTTTTTTTTTTTTTTTTTTTGGTGGAACCAGGGGTTGAACTCAGGCCCTTGAGCTTGCCAGGCAAGTGCTTATTCTCCTGAGCTATCTCCCCAGGCCCCAATATATACCATTCTTATCATAAATAAAACTTTGCTGACTTTCCTGCTAACAGAAAAATATTTCATTAACTTTTTAAAAAGGCTAAAAATGCATGCAAATCCATGCTGGGTTAGCAATATTGAAATTTGAAAAAAATACTGCCAAAATATAAATCAGATGAGTGCAAAGTAACAATCAGCAGCACTTTAAAATTATACAGTCCTAACAGAAGTAACCCCCATGATCTGAGAAGTTAGTTATTTCTACTAATTATGTTCATGATGTCAGAATTAACACACAATATTTGCTACTGTCCCCTGGTACTTCTGATTCCTCTTCTTGATTTTATCTACTTTTCTCTCAGGATAAACACAATCTGCTCTTTACTTCCTTATTTTGCATGTCACTGGTCTGAGAAAAGTGTCACCAACCTAGTAAATATCAAGGAGCTTCACAGATTCGAATCATGTCACGATACTAACACTTCTGGTGGGACTGAAGCTGAAAAGGAAGCCCTAAACACTGTATGCGTATCCAGAGAAAGGAGTTAAGCTTTAGGTAACTGTGGCCAGCCTGGAAAGCTTATGAGCAGACGCTGAGCAGCCAGGGGCAGTCTAGGGCCAGAGGGTAGCGCGGGACGGGTGGCCTCAGTTACCGCTATTGTTCCTTAGTGGGCAGTGCCCCTGGACCGTCCTCAGGCTGCCCACCTCGCTGCAGAAATCACAGGCCTTGACCTCCTCCTAACTTACCATGCTTTCTCCCTGCCCTCAGGTGATAGATCTGCCATCTTCGTAATAAAGTCCTGACCAAATCCAAATGCTTTGTATCACCCTAAAAATTCTGCAGTTTTCCCTTTGTACTAAAAAACTGTTGTAGATTTTCCCTGGATTCATTTCCTCCAGAACACTATCTATCATGAACCACTTTTTGTAAGAGAAAACACAAAGACTTATACTTCCACTAAGTGCAAATTAGTATTTAATTTAAATTAAGTGGAGGGGAGCTACGTCTTGATTTACTTTGAAGGAAGTGAGAACTTGTTACAGAGAAGCTATACCATTAAGACCTTGATGTACCTTTAATCCACGACCTTAAGGCTCCCCAAATTGTAAGTCTAACCCAGTTCAACAGCATCAGCCTAAAGGACGAGAGAATTCTGAAGTTGGTTGGCCTTATCCTAGCCTAAAGAAGTAATAAATAATTTATTTTTCCATATTTGGGCATGGCATCCATGGCCCACAGGATAATTACTTCTTCTTTTAGAGTCAAAGGTGACCTCCTGAAAGGGGCCAGTGTGAGACGAGAACGGGGTGGGTTTACATCCATGCACAATA